ATATACAATATGCATATATATATATGTATATATATATATATATATATAGATAGATAGATTTATATCTTCTTCCACTCTAGCATCATCCGCACTCTAGTTTTCATGCTGTTGCTGCATGTCGTCGTCGTAGCCCTGTTGCTGAGGCTCGTTGAGCTGCTGCTTCTGCTGCTGCTATTGGTGTGGTTAGTGCTGCTGCTGCTGCTATTGATGTGGTTCGTGTTGCTGCTGCTATTGATATGGTTATTGCTGCTGCTGGTGCTGCTGCTGTTGATGGTGTGCTGCAGCAACTGAACGAGCTGCATGCATCATTAATGCACGTAATCTCGTGCGATGAAGAAACCCTTGATGCACAAGGACAGCCCCAGTGGGTCCAGAGGGGTTTATTTTCTCAGTTGTCGGTTGTCTCCCCAAATCGTTTGCAAGCCCCACCGCTGCATTGCTCTTCTGCACGAGTGAAACATGCATTTGAATTCCTACGCAAGAGACGCACGCATGCAAACAGCAGCAAAAACACCAACAGCAGCAGCAGCAACAACAACAACAGCAACAGCAACAGCAGCAGCAGCAGCAGTGCGGAGTCGTCGCAGCTCCAGCAGCAAGCGGGATCTGCACAGGCAGCATGTATAAATACGAACGAGGGAGGAAGATCTCTTCAAGGGATTGCAGCAGCTGCAGCAGCAGCAACAACAGCGGCAGCAGCAGGAGCAGCAGCAGCAGGAGCAGCAAGCAGAAGAAAAGGCCGCTCGTACAGCGGCCTCTCTTGCCCCGCTGAATGGGAAAGAAACGCCGTTGCGAACCCTCCAAGCCGCCCCACAGACCCTCTTTGCTGCGCCTACCACAGCGAGGAGCTGCTGCAGCAGCAGCAGCAGCTGCAGCAGCAGCAGCTGCAGCAGGAAGAGGGGGAAGCACGAGAGGCAGCCTGCGGGAGCGCTGGAGGCACACGGGACCCGCTGCATGCGCCATTAGAGCGCCTATAAAGGCAGCAGCTGATTGCTTGACGTGTTGCGTCTGGATATAGAAATAAAGATATAAAGAAATAAAGAAAGAAAAGAAAAGAAAGGGAGTAGAAGGGGCTGATTGCATACTTGCATTTTGTTGCAGCCTCCTCTACAGTAACTCAATGCAGAAACTCTCTTCATTCACTCTGTGAGGCATTACTTTTGCTTGGCTTAATGCCTCGCCTAGCAGTCTGTTTGCTTATTTTCTTCTTTTGTTGTTTCTCTATGCAAATTGCTATTAATCTCTACTATTCTTCTTTCTCCTTGGTTGTCTTCTACTTTACCTTGCATCCATCGTCGTTGTCTCCTTGCAGCCCTCCTTGCTTGCAAATAAACCCTAAACCCTTACACCCTAAACTTAGTGTGTAGCGGCTCTAAAAAAGGTAGGTAGACGCAGAGCAGGGCGACCTAATATATATATATATATATATAATTGAGATTCAACAAGGGGACGTCAAACGCAGGGTATGCGGTGTATGTGCACTGCAATGCCTGTACACTTTAACAGCTCTTACAAAGTGGAAGCAAAACAAAATGTGGAAGAGAATTCGTTTTATTGACTAAGAGTTTAACATATTTGTTTAAAAGAAATAAAACAACAAATATATTGCATGATAAACAAAAGAGAAGAGACCCCCGCATGGCTGGGTTTGTTTGCTCTCCTTGTATCTCTACAGACAAGCAAAACAATCAAATTAATAATTAGTAAAAATAATAATAGACAATAAAAATATTCATATGTTATTCTTCCTTTCTAAAGAGGCTATTCATCCTTTTTATTAGTATTCTCCCTCTTCATTTTTCTGCTTTCTTCACTCTTGTTTGCCTGCCTTCTCTTCTTCGTCTCCCTATGAAAAATTAATTAATGGATATTATTATCATTATTTAATTTACTGTTATTTAGTACTATCTTTATTAATATTATTATTCTTCTCCTTCGCTGAATTACTCTCTCTGTTTTTCTTTGGTCTTTCCTCTTTCTTCTGTTTATTCTTGTTGCTGCAGAACCGTGACTACTGATTCACCCCACTAGGAGAGGCCTAATAAATAAATAAATATATATATATATATATATATATATGTATATATACAGGTATATGCATACATCTATGATTATATAAAATTATATCCTTATATTTATTTATTTGTTCATCTAGAGGTATGTAGTTGAAGAACGTTTAAGGTAAAAGAAACGCCAGAGTTGCGCTTTAAAATCAAACACGCGTATTTGTTGTTGGGTGTACGCACGCGTATATATACATATACATATATATCTATATATATTATATATAATATATAATATATATTATATACGCATTGAATGCATATACACTGGGGAAGTGTATGTGCATCTACACACCTCTAAATACATAAATCTAAATAAGAGTAAATGCATTAAGAGGGAAGAGCCAGGGAAGAAGGGCTGGGCCGGGTCTCTCATAGAGGTTTCTCAAACCCTAAACCCTAAACCCTAAACCCTCGATTACATGAATTGGAGGCGCAACAGCGTGTAGCTGTTGCATGCAGACGAAGAGTTGCTGCTGCGTCTCCTTTCAGCAATTCCCTCTTTGCTTGACTCTCTAAACTAAACCCTAAACCCTAAACCCTCGCATGTAGGTTTGATTAGGGTTTATAATTTCTACTGTCTGCCTTCTGCTTCATAAGCCTGTGCTACTACTGAGGGCTGCTGCGCATATTGTTGGCTTTGACCTTGCGAGAAGCTTGCATGCGGCGAGACTCCCATTTGCTGCTGCTGCTGCTGCTGCTGCAGTGGGTCTGATGAGGGGTAATAGGGAGACAACCTTGCAAATTTTTCAACTTGTTGTTCAACATCATTTGTTAATTCTGTTTCATGTAGAGCTGGGGATACATTATTTACTTCAGGCTCAAAGAAGACTGCCCAGGTTGCTGCTGCTAGCAGAGCAAACCAAACAAACAGCGCCGATACCCCGCTGACCGAAGCAAACAATACGCAAAACTCTGCAAACAAACAAACACAAACAAATATAAAACAAACAACAATTACTCTAGACAAATATACATTCACTAACTAACGAACTAAACTAAATAATCAAGGGTATCAAACTAATATATACAAGCGAACACAAACAAGTAAACAAACAAAACTATAAAAATATATTATTTCAAACAAATTTGCACAACTACAGATAAACAAAGCAGCAAAAGTGGATGGTATTGAACGGAAATAAAAATAAAAATAAACAAACAAACAAAACAGCACAGTACATCAGACAAACAAAAGCAAAACCCAATGTACAAATACAGGGATTCAAACAATACAACTAAAAAAATAAAAACTGCTTCTCTCCTCATCTTGTTTTCTTTCTACACCTATAAATTTATATAGAACGTTACTAAAAGCATTCATGCAAATCTGCATGCATATACACTCTATTATGCTGCATGCACGCAACTGCATATATATATATATATACATATATATATATATATATATATATATGCATTCAAATCTGTATGCATAGACCTGCATATAAACACGCATGCACCTAAATATGCATAAGTGCCGGAGTTTCTTACCGAGTAGAGCAGCGATACCAAAGAGAGAAGAGTTGATGTATGCATGCAGATCTCCTGCTCCTTCATCATGATAGACTTCAAGAAGATAAGTAGCAGCACCATAAAGAGCGAGAGAGACTGCATGCAGACAGCGAATGTATGAAAAGAAGAGGCATTCGGGGCCCCCTTCTTTGAATTGCAAGTACCACTTCGGCTTGTAGAACTTGGCGATGTACAAAAAGAAAATAAACTGCATCACGCTGCTCAGCAAATCCAAAAATGTAGCAAGGCGAAGCACTTTGCTGCCCGAGCGATAACCCCGAGCCCAGCTGTACGTACACCGCAGCACAGCAGCAAATGTATACATATATATAGAGAGAGAAGAGGAATTTTAGGGTTCTCTTGCTGTTAGGGTTTAGGGTTTTTGTTTGTTAGGGTTTAGGGGGCTTGGAAAGCTGGGGTGTATGCACAGAGGAGCATTTGCCTTGTTGATTAGCGACTATTGTTGCTTACCAAGCATCATCTGCTGCAATTGCTTGAAAGCACACGAGATATGTTGCGCCTAGCATGTACAAACCCGAGAAGAAGACAAGGGCAGTGTGAAAGCCCTCTGAGCTCCTAGCCGCCTGCAGCAGAGAGAAACAAGAAGACAGCAGGTAGAACCCATGCATGCAGACCAACGGAAGGTAGAAATTCATAAACAAGAATGCAGGAATGCCAGCACTGGGGGTGCTGATTGTCGCGTGCTGCTCCCGTGCTACATCGATATGCTGTTATTGTTTGCGCTTTTCTCTCGTTTTCCTCTTGCTAGAAGCACGCAGGCTAGGTCCAGAGTACGCTGATTGAAACTGCCGATCGTTTCTGCATATGCTCAGCTAATAATGTTGGAGTTATTGAAAGAGATTGGCGTCTATATTTTGTTGTTTGGGGCTGCGTACATGTGTGCACGCAACCAGAGAAAGCCGTACCTCGTTCATGCCTTGCAGCTCATAGCCAAAGAGGCCGGAGCCTCCTGAGGCCCAGTAAGAGATGAAGAGGCCTGTGAGAGAGAAGAGCTGCAGAAGAAAACCCCCTCTAAGCAGAAAGCTGTTGCCTCCGACTCCACCGCAAAATACGGTGGTAGGCAGATCGACGCAGGGCCCGCGCATGGCCGGTCTGGGGTCATCCAGACCCTCTTGGCGTGTCGTGAACCACATTTTGAAAGAGAAAAGAAGAAAAGAAGAAGAAAAGGAGAAAATGCAAAGAAAAAGTACAGAAAATACACAAGTTTCACAGATCTACCACCGCTGCGATACCGCCGCGGCCTGTTCAACTTGCAGCGCCCGCTGCCGACAACGGGGTGTACGTACAGCTCAGCTTGGCGCTGTGAGTTTTTTTAAGGGTTATTGATATATATCTATGAAATCGCAATGAAATCAAACGAATTCATGTTCTAAAGAAGGCCGATACCCTGCACACAACTGCAGCAAACAAGCTTCTTACCGACGGAGTTCAACACGCAGCCGGCGGCATTGGCCTGCGGATGGCTAGCGAGGCGTCGCTGCTGGTCTCTGTCTGTCTGTCTAAGTTTTTGCATTTGCGTTTAAATATGAATTTCAAAACTTTTATTGTTTTTTATTGCAATCCATGCATTCAAAAAAGAACGAAACAAACAAGAAAAACAAACAAAACCCAACCCCTACACAACCCACCGCAGTAGACGGGTGGCTGCCCTGCACAATGCGCCTCTCGGCATCTCAGCGTAGTTTGCTCCGATCTCGCAGCTTTTAAATGGAATATTCCTTTTTAAAAACAATAAAACACTAATTCGCTTCTTTTCAATAAAGAAAATACCTAAAATTTAGCTAAAGACGTTGCAAACTCTCTCCGCCTTCTGCCGCCTCCACCAGCACACCCAGACCGAACCACCCTACACCAAGAACAGGGAAGAAGTTATAATAGCTTTTTTCTTTTGCATGCGGCGAAGGAAGAAAGGGTAAAAAGCAGAAGAACGGGCTTGAAATGCCTTTTAATTAGATATACCATACAGCATAAAATAGAAAAAGTAAGAAGACGTATTCATGTTTCTTCCGTCTTCTTTTGTCTCTACTGCTGCTGTAGACCGTGGGGGTGGGTGGGGGGGTAAGGCGAGAGGAAG